ATAAATTACAAATATATGACGGATGTCCCATTTACGCCCCGCTCTTTTCGCAATGTTAAGCTTTAAAAACGGGAAGGATCAGCCTAATTAACTAATATTGGATTATTCCTCGATAAAAGTCCAAATTTGGTCTCGGGATTGCGCGCCGAGTCGAAGTACTCGCTGGGCGCGGTTTAACCGCCCGCCCGAATTCGTTTTACTCGCGGGCGGTTCTTAATTCGCCGAACGTGCCCGGACGACGCGCGTTCGCAGCGCACACTCTGATCCAGTATTTAATTCAGGTGTCACCTGTGTGCTTAAGCACGCGCGTGTAAGTCTCGCGCTGCACTACGCGCCGCTCTACGCGAGCTAAATCAAACAACGCTGCAAATTGCAAATGGGAACTAATTGCTTTCGCGCTTTACTTACAACCGCAGTAACGTTTTAACAAGCTCTGACGCAGAGGCCTCTCGCAACGGGGAATTTAATGCTCATAAAGGACACAAGAGCGCAATACACAGAATTTCCAATTAGTATCGCCGACAAAAGTGAAACTCAATGAGGCGAGCGGACGTTCCGCACATCGATTGCATAATAACGAGAGAAAATCGGTAATTAGATTACAAGAGAATCGCGGTAACGCCCAAACGAGCGCGCTCCCGCATGCGTATACATCTCTTCGTCGCGCGCAGTCGCATAATTATTTTAATGCAACATAATTTGCGAAAGATACAAAGCGCTCGCGTAACTGCACGTATGATCAAAGCGGACGCGCAAGATTATCCTTACCGCTCCTGAATGCGAGGATTGTGTCGCGATTTTCGCAAATATCGCGCACCGGCAACGCGAGATATGTTAAATTAATCAATTTGCGGGGATTTCGCGCGCGCTGATATATATTTGCCGTCGCTGAAGCCCAGTCGTAATTTTAATCGCACATTAATCCTGCAAATTACATCGAGCTTGAAAAATCGATCGGACGTCTCGTGATTTCAATCCCGTGATTTAACAAAGGCTGTTGTCCTCAATGTTACAAACAAGTATCGTTGCTCCATTACAACTGTTAAAAAATTCTCTGTTATCTAGGTCTACTCAATATTCTACCGATATTTAATCTTTATTCCTTCTTAATTTACTTCATTAATTTAGAACTGGAATTTCGACCCGGGGAGCTCGCGGAGATTCCGTTATGTTGCGACACGCGAATTTTTCTACGCTTGAACGACGTAATCGGCCCAACGCGCACACATACAGACACCCACGCACATCAACGATGCTCCCGCTCTGCGAGCGTTCTCCGCTCCATCCCTAACGTCTTTTCCACGGGGCTGCTAGAGGAGGGTGTGGAAAGACGAGGAATTAATTAAACGTATTCAGGAAGATGAGCGAGGAAGGCTTTCTCGCCGGAAGGGCGATTGTATCATCGGCCCTCGTTATGAGTTTATCCCCGAGTCGACGAGCCTTTTCCAATGCCAGTAACGGGCGGCTGCTTATCGCTGCGTCAAAGTAGTTATGAGCTTAAGACGGCCCATAAAGAGTGAAATTTTACGAGGCTGTGCGAGAGAAGAGTACGTCGGAAGTTTACCTCGAGTTTCGCGCGCTCTCTTGATCATGATGGAGATCCATCTTCTCTCCCTCCCCCCCCCTCTCTCTCTCTCTCTCTCTCTCTCTCTCTATATATGTCTCCCCTTCTCACTATCAATCTGACGTCGGCGTTGCGCCTCGTCGTCGTGCGAGAGTACGCGAGTTTACGGAATCTTTTTATAAACTATTTTCCCAGCGAATATACGGAGGCGGCGGTAACGTCGATTCTATAAGCGCGCCGTTAAAGTCGGCGAGGTGAAATCACTTCGCGGATGCGATCTCGCGCTTTCCGCCGCCCCGCCGACGGGAGTATTTTTACGTCCCCTATTTTTATCGGGACCGAGCGAGCGTTTCCGAACGGGGGCGACGGGCGGCTAACGAGGTCCTTCTATCCTCCGGAGACGGTCCGCGCGGGGGGCCAACAAAACGACGCGTCCGCGGGGGATTTTCGACTCCCCGCTATCCTTCGGCGACGCCGCGGGCAACTCCCCCGACGAAGAGTCCTGCTTCTGTTATCGTCATCGCCGCCACTTCCGAAGGACCGGAAGAGCGATTTCTCACGAACGGAGATCACGTGCTGCGCGAGAGGCGGCGAAGGGGTGGCGCCGGTGATCCTCGAGGGGACGCATCGGCGACCGGGTGCGTCGTATAATGCGGAGCATCGACAGCTTTCATCACGCCACACGCTTGTTTGCCGAACGGTGTTTGTCCGCGCGGCTCCGGCTATCGTTAGGGTGTTTACCCTGATGATACAACTGTATGCACAATGTAGGCTCCGCCCGGGCACTCGTATGTTGATGGCGGCGACGTGCCGCACAGGCTGTGCGCACGGCTGGATATCTCTGTTTGTCCATCCGGGGATACGGTCGGATGCGATGTTCGATTCCGTCGTCGCTGTGTTCGCGCCGGAATTATCGAGGAGGAGCCCCTCCGCCACGGATTCTGAGACGAGGCATGCGACGACAATCGTGGACGTCGTCGCCGCGTATTTTATACACCCGCGAGTACGCGTCCATTAGCGCGTACAAATGAACGCACACGCGGTATATACACGCTGAATTATGACGAGCGCGTGCAATTAGGTTGTCATTTAAATAAATATCCATTAATTGCGCGCCGCGCGTATTAGTCACGCGCGTTACGGCAATTACGGCGCTCTCGGTCATTTAAACGTGTTAAAAGTTGCGCCGCTCGGATAAATATCTATCAATTAGACGCGTTATTACACTATGTTTTAGTTATCCGCGCGGGTTAATTAATACGTATGTATTTAGTCGAGCGGCACGAGCGCTCCGACGTGCCGAGGAAGAGAACGGACGCGCGGTTTCTCCCTCCCTTTCCTCTTTTCCTCCCTCCCGATTTCCTCGTACGAACGGAGCCTGAAATATCGCGCGGCTCGTCACGGCAACGCGTATATATACGTATCCGCGGGTATTGGCTCGGTAAGTGGTGATTTTCGAAACAGGCGCACTGAAATACGGGGCCGAATGGAGTTGCCGGAAAGTATTAATGCGAGGTATGAAGTAAGATAAGTGAACCGCGGCGGCCGTTACGCGTTCCCCCGCGGCCGGATATCTGGGATCGCGAAACTAATTCCAGCCTCTAATGGTTCTGCCAATAGCAATTTCTGTAAGACTGAATAGTGATTCTCAGATATTAAGAGCGAGAAACTTTCCTCCGGCGTCGCGAGGGCGAACGCAGGTCTCGCCCGTGCAATTTCCGTGCGCCTCCCTCTCTTTCTCTGTCTCACTCTCTCTCTCTCTCTCGCTTTCTTTCGCTTCCTCTCTCCTATCCTATCCTATCCTTGTTCCGTTCTTCTGGCTATTCCCGAACGCCCGGTAGAGGCATTAAACACCTAATGGGCTTTTTTTCGATACGTCGATAGCGAAAAGAACCGCAATGATTGATTTTCGTCTAACTACGGCGAAACTTTTTATTCCGGGCGCCGCGAAGAACAATTCAATCTAAACCAGATGGAAACCGCAGCGCCGTTTATAAACGTCCACCCTTAGTCAATCGCTATAAATGCTGTTCGATTATCGCTCGCTGAGGAAATCAATGGCGCTGAGGGTCCGCATGAGGAGTTACACAGGGTATAGGATATACATGTATATATCAGGTTGTTCATTTATTATTTTTGCTTTCCTCTCTTTTGTTAAAACAGCTTGTATTTATGAAACACTAGACCAACACAGACGCGCGCCACACGCATTTAGCTAATTACTGTGGTGTGAAAAAACAGACTTCAGTTTGCGCAACTGGATAAACGCCAGACTAAAATTCGTCGACGAGGAAATGATATCTCTGTTACCGTCGAGGGACCTCCGCGCGTGAGCGATTTTAAGTCGCGATAAAGTTACGTAAGAAAATTGACCAATCACAGTTGATTATTCTCCTCGAGAAATCATCAATCGCGCTCGGGCAATTTTCTTGCGGATTTACGGTCACGATGGGAAGTCGCTTACGTGCAAAGGTCTTAATCCGCGCGATGACAGCCGCGGCTCGGCGTAGCAACGACTCGAGATCGAGATTTCAAGACGGCCGATCGCGGAAAAGCGGCAGATAAAAATTTCCCACCCGCCGCCTCTCTTTTCCGAGGTGGTTACTCGTATTTTCGCGCGCAACGGCTATTCGCACCCGCGGCATTCCCGCGTTTCGATAATTCAGTCGTCGCTCGCGCTGCGACGTGATACGCTCGTAAATAAATTCTCCAATTATCTGACCTTACCGTTAATCCCACCTCTTCCGGCGTCCGTCTCTGATCTATAGTTTCAAGTTTCGACGCGCGTTATCGTCCGGCCGTATTTCTTCGGCGCGTCAATTTCCAACGCGCGACACCTGTGCGACGTAATCGGACGATTCATCGGGAACGTGTCGCGAGATACGTGACAATGGTTATACGGCTGTATCGTGGAAGCGAGAACGCGCCGAGTGCCGCGAAAAGGCGCAGTTTTATAACAAGATCTGGGAAATAGCGAGACGCCGGGCACCGCGTCCTGATTGCGTTTCTTTCTCAGACCGTTATTCCGCGTGGTCGCGCCGCAGAATTTATCATTTCGCCGTTCGATGTACAAACGATGCGCGCAGCCAGTGTGGTGTGAACGTACCGATACCCCACTTCCGGCGAATCTCGAGAGATACAGCGTCCTATCGCGACATGCATCAACGTCGTCGGCAATTTCAACGCGGTTGCCTAAACTCGCTCGCGCCGCTCGTGCATCTTGAGAGCTTATCTCTTTCGACTTCCCGTTCCCGGACGTGATTTTCAATTTCCTCCTTCCCGTCGTCGGTGACGGCGGGCCCGATCGAAATTTTCGGCGAGCCCGGTGATACGAAATGATCTTTCTTTTAAGACGCACAATTTACGAGGCAATATGGCCTCTCGGTGTCCAATAAAGGATTCTCCTCGGTCGAACCTCGCGAATAACCGCCGGCCCTCAATCGCTCAGCTCCTTTTGTATCTGCACAAAGGTTTTGCCCTTCGTCTCCGGCGTAAGACGAAGAATCACGGCGGTGCATATCACCATGCACACGGCGTACGACAGGAAGGCCGGCATCGGGCCGAAGCCCCAGGTGACGGCCGTCAGGATGTAAGTCTTGGCCACTAATATGTGAAGGATCGGGCCGACGATGCCCGCGAGGCAGGTGCCGAGCGCCTTGATCTCGGTGGCGAATATCTCGGACTGCACGGTTATGTGGATGCTGATCGGGCCGCAGTTGTTGAAGAACATCAGCACTATCATCGCGACGAACGGTATCAGGGAGCAGGCGGACACGTCCATGTCGAGGAAGTCCTGCGCGTAGAAGAACGCGGCGATCACGAAATTAGCGCTCGCGACGATCACGCCGGAGACCAGCAGCAACGGCTTGCGGCCGAGCCGGTCGACCACGCAGGTGGTGATCAACACGGAGATCACTTGCACCACACCGAGCACTATGGCGGTCGCGTAATCGGAGATGACGTTCGTCATCGACTGGAAGATGAGATGGACGAACGCGAGTATCGTGTAGAAGCCGCTGAACTGCATGGCGCACAGGAAGACGTTGTTGATGATGAAGGCGCGCCGGTTGGCACGTACGGTCAACAACTCCCGGAAGCCGCCGCTCCTCTGCCGGCTGTTGGACTTTACCGTCTCGAGGATGAGCTCGACCTCGTCCGAGACGTCCGTCCTGCCGCGTATCTTCTCCAACACCGCCTCCGTCTCCTCTATCCTGTTCTTCATGGTCAGGTAGTACGGCGACTCCGGCATGAAGCAGAACGTGATGAAGAAGACGACGACTATGCTCATGAAGATGCCCGCTGACAGCGAGGTCGACACGTATGGTATGATCACGAACGCGATGAGGATGCCGATGTTGAACATCGTTATGGTTAAGGTCAGCCCCGCACCTCGTAAGGATGGCGAGACCACTTCCGCGAGGTAGATCGGCAGCACGTTGATGAACATGCTGCAAGATACGCCGCTCAAGAATCTCGCCACGTAAATCATCTACGGCAAGAGCAAACTTATTAGACACTCGTACGCTCCGCCAGATTTCTCCTTTTCCTAATATAACACCATATCTCGTCGCTATTTTTGTCAATGCGGGGGAAATCCGTGACGTCCGAAACGAGTCGACCGCTTTGTGCCGGCTATTTTGTCGCACGAGCGAAATAGACCACTCGAGACAGTAGCGAGGATCTGACAGCCGAAATATATACATGATGCTTCTTAATTGGCGCTCACTAATTAAACAGCATCGTTCCCCTTATTAAAAGACATTTTTAAAAATGTCCTCCTTTTCACGCGCAACATTTAACGATATAATGAAGAAAAATCGTAATGAAGTGTTCAAAATAATTAGTAAGTGAAAGGACTCGTTCGCACTGGCCTTTTTAATCAAGAGAATTAGTGAATAAAATTCAGTCAACCGGCGCTGCGCTTCGTACGAGTCCGTATAAGGAGGTGTAATATCCGTATAAAGGATGCCGTTGACGGGCGCCAATTAAGAAACATTCTGGCCAGTTGCGAAACGAAAGGAAGCTTCTTCGACGCGCGCGCGGAGATTCTCGGCTGTTCAGCGGCCGATGTTTCAAGGGGCGATTCGCGCCGACACTTGCTGAGAATATATCCGCCTTACCCAGACGTTCATGACGATCGTGATGAGACCCCAGGAGACTATCATCGGCAATGCGCTCATCAACATGATCTTCTTCCTCCCTATCTTATCAACCAGGTACATGCTTATCGGCGTAGTCATTACGTAGCCGATGGAGACGAGGGCTACCAAAGTGGCAGCGTCGGAGGCGGTGAGGAGAACCGCCGAGCCCGGCACCATGAACGCCATGGGGCCCGGCGAGCTCCATCCCTGAACGAACCCGACCTCCATAGTCATAATCATACCTGAATTCGCAAAATTGCGCTGCGTAAATATCACGAAACTTCGGATGCAAACGGAGGTTCAAGACGCGGCGACGGACGCATCCGTCACGGAAAACATACTGAAGAAAAATGCTACCGTTCGAGAAATATTTTCCCGATCCGAATAAAGTAGTTACTCCAATACTCCTTGGAAAATATTTACCAGAGGTAGAAATATATGACTATATGAAATATGATACCTCTCTCCTTCGTATAAATAGATATTTACGTGTATGTGTTAAAACAATTTTGCAACGAACGTCAAATTCGTGATATATTGAGAATATTAGAATTTATCGTTTTTGATAACACCACTGGACAGAAAATGTAAATTTAAAACCACTAGGTGGCTCCTCCAGTGCAAAAGAAGTATTATATAACTCTAGTCGATACTATTTTAAATTTAATATCATTTGACGCTTAAATTTTCAGTGACTCGTTTACAAATTAAAATATTACTGTGTTTAAATAAGTGCATTTACTATATAATCTATTAAAAAAATATGCTTAGATTGATGAAAATATCACTTCACCGACGTGGCCGAAAAATCGGCGATTACGTTCGCTTGATTCTAGCACTGTTTTCTATGTACGAATCGCTCTTACAAGTGAAGCAGACTAGGTACTCCCAGGTCCTCGAACCTTCCGGCTTCATGTACTTTCCCCTTTCGGCGTCGGCATGTAATTCGGTAACCATGTCTCTCGGCGATGTGATTCGGCAGCGCGTAGGAGCACGTCGGAAACGAAGGGAACGGAAGAGAGCACGAACAACGACAAGTTGAGCGAACCTGCTCGATCTCGACGTGATCCGATACTGAAGCGCGCTATCCTAAAAAGCTACGAACAGCATGGCGTGCTGCATTACATTTCTGCGTGTGTGAACCTACGGAATTATCAGGATAACGCAAGAAATTGCCCAGTCAGAATGTGACGACGCCTCGACTCCACATGTATTTACGAGCGAGCGTCTACAAGCGCACACCAAATTCGAAATCTCGTTGGTGTGAATCTCGATTCTCCCTTCTTCTATCCCCCTTACACTTTCGCAATCAAACACACTCGTTCGCCTGCGACGTCACAGTATATTCGCGCCATCTACGTGAGTGTTACATCTGTTATTTTGATTGCGCCGATATCTCTCTCACCCACCTGCTCGCGATTGAGCGGAACGGTGTCGATGAATGCATGGAAGCTGCGCTTCGATAAACTCTATTTAGCTCGCGTTAATGTCTCGTAGGAACTTAAACATGTCATTAACAAAGTATACCGCTTCATGTTGACAGTTCGTCGATCTCTTGCGTGACCAGAGAATACGCGAAGGCTTGTGCAAATATCACCGGGAGTGCCGATGAAGATTGCTTTTACAGGTGTAGAACAGATGTGAATCGCGCATGCGATGAATTACTCACTACGGCTTTGCTTCTTTTTTTCTCATCACGCTTTATTAATCCCCAAAGTACGTTTATGAAATATGCTTGTCATGCCAAGACATTAAATATTGCGATACAATTGAAACGAAACGCACCAGGTCATCGTGTTACGCAATAATATATCCAGAGGTACTCGATTAATAGGCGTTCGATTTATTTTCATTTATTCCGTATCACCCGTAGTCGTCACGTTTTATTCGCCGATTTTCGCTTATTGTAATTCATTCGCATTTCGCAAAGAGTGCGAGTGCCCTTCTCTCTCTCGCGCGCGCGAAACACGTAACACGTATCCAGAAGCATTAAGTAACGAAACACAAATATTAAGAATATTTATGACGGTTTATTTGATATTTATCAGCAACTTAATGCGATTGTACCGTTGTGGCATCTGTTTTGTCGAATTTTTAGAGCGCTGATAAGTAAGATGCATTCCTTTTGAAATGGTATTTACGTACGTCTCGTCAGTTTTATCGCGAAAGTCTACAAACGATCCTTGAAATTGTCACGACGACTGGATAGCGCAAGATACATAGTAAGAAATCTTACATCCAAATGTAAAAGTTTTTTTTATTTACCAACTTTTGATTATTACTTCAATGTAAAATTAACAGTTGATTTGTTACCTTTCTCGTGTATTATTGATGTCAATTTAGTAGCGTTTTTTGTGTATCATTTAACAAATGAAATATTATTTCGACTTCTTCTAACACGATTGCTTAGTTAATGTTGTTATTACTATTTTTATGATTAAAACTACAACGAAGCTGTAGTTGACACCAAAAATAATTAGAAATTCTGCTTGTATTACTCATTAATGACTTAATCATTCGCTTAAGGTATGTAGACCCTGTTAATACCATTTCAAACAGAACGTGATATACTTATCAGTGGAAAATTAATTCTCCCGATGACGAAATTATTTCTTCAAGTTTGCTCACCGACTGACTGTGCTTGATGTTACAATTTAATTTGGATACACTTGCCTCTTGATATGTGAAAAATGATTTACATCTGAACATAAAGAAATATTATATCATACATTTTACGCACTCACTCTTCAATTAACTTTCTATATTCCATTGGCGGTTACCTATTATTAGTCTCGGGATTGTTGTTGTCCCGGTTGTTGTTGACTCCAGGTTATCTTATATTATCTTATATGGCTATGTAAACAGAACTGTTTGCACAGCATCTAGATTTCTTGATTTCATAAGGTGTTTTTTTTCGCACGATTTTAGACAGTCATTTACATTAAGGCTACTTTACGTTTCTTTGATTCGTTCCTATCTCGAGCGTGATATGGTCACTTTAACGAACTTTGTATATCAAGTAAATTGAAACTGTGCAGCATAAATTTTCCAAATATGCCTCTCTGAGATATGGATTTCTTGTGAGTATTGGTGATTATTACGATTATTCGAGTGTTTCACTTTTGCTTAGCCTTCATCGTTGGATTTCCGTAGGTGCTTAGCGGACGTTAAATTTCCACAAAATATCATAAATTTCAATATCGACTGTTCTAGTTTACTTTTTAATATTGACTTTAATCCTTGTCCTAAATCATTCAGAACTGTTCCGCTCTTTCGTCCTTGCCCATTCAGAATCCAAATCAGAATAACTAATATTGTGTGTTGAAAGAAAATGTGTCAGTGTTAATTTATTAACATCTTCAATCTGCGAACAAGCGAACACATTCTGACGAGTAAGTTATTTCGACAGAAAATTTGGAGTGGGAATTCTGGGACATATGAAAGATGTTAAAATTGACATTTTATTTTTACCGTGTACTCGTTCAAGCATTAATTTTTTGTCGAGAACGAACCAAGAATGTAGTAACATTTATAAGCAAATAAAATGTTTAAGAAACGTAAGAATAGTCATGACTAAAGATCACGGGTTGACCTCATCTCGTGTGTTGAATCGGGTCAATGATCGGAAATAAAGCGCGTCAATTGAACTTCGATATCGCGTAAATTCCGATATTCACTTATCGGATTTGAAGATACACGAAGTTCTTTAATAATTATCCTTCTCGCCTTGACAATAGAATTTCCAGGTTCGACTCGTCGATCCTTGATATTTCCAGTCACGTTCATTCAACCTCTAGACAACGTTACAATTATTTCATCACAGCGGAGCCAATTCTTCCGTTTTTAAAGTTCGCGGCAAAAAGACCATTAAAAAGGAGACGTCGCCTGCACGCTCGCTCCGGAAATGCGCCATTACATCTTTAAGCATCGTAACACGGCGTAAACCGGCGGCAGGGAGAAAACCCGGGACACCGTAGTTCCATTTTCCAGTTTCATCGCAATACACACGGCCGGCCGCTATTGGACGATTACTCCCGGCAGACAGGTGCAGTTTTACATACTTTTCCTCCTGCAATGCTCGCACTGATTCTCCGTTTTCGTTAGAGAAAAAACAACGCGCGCACGCGGCGCCGCCGCCGCCGTACGCTATTGTTTGCACGGTCCGACTCCTGTTTTTAACGTAGTCGCGCTGTTAGTAGAGCAAATATTTTTACGCGAGCATGCTTGAAACCGATGCGCAGCCACCGCACTGTTGGGATCGTGTTAACCACGTCGAGGCGTCTTCCTTCTCGCGGCGACCGGAGGTGCAGAGACGCGATTTTCCACCGACTAATAATACGATAACGCGTTCCCGCGTTGGAAACGGAATTACGGCGGTCTAACGGCCTCTAACTGAAATTCGGCGCACAGCTGCGAGATCGTAGGCTAAACTCGGGTTTAATCTGTGCGGCCGACTAGTTATATATAGAACTGACAAGCACGCATTTGGCGCCGATTATCGGCTCGTAATTAATTCGATGTGTAACGGCGCCGGGTCGCGCTTAAGGGTGGCGCTTTTGAAAATTTCACGTCTCGCAAAACGCGCCCGAGCGAATATTTATACACCAGAAGAAAGATATATTTGTAATCAGAACTAATTTTTTTTAGTAAGTGTTACTATCGAGTATCGGCGATAATAACTTTACGTGCATATTGCCGCTGCTATTATTGTGGTTAAAATCAAGAAAGGATATAGTCGACATCGAAAATAACGAATTTTCCTCCGTGATTCCTCTCTATGATGATCTCTCTCTGTGATCGATGAAAATGTTCGGTTCTCGATTGTTTTCGGTGAGATTTGACTTCGTTGCATTTAGGTGAAAACGAATTATCCGTCGTCCGAATAAACGCCGTGATCGTTTGTAATCTTTCGGCAACGTTTGAAAATCGCACTTCCTTGGCTGACCCGATGAAAGTACAGGCATGCAAATGTGCATTCGCGGTCTATGGGAGAGGAAGCTTCGTTTCGCTCGTAATGCTCGGTAAGAGGAGTACCGAAGAATCCGAACGAGCGTTACGATCTAGCGAGAAGGGCTATTACGCGATTATTCAAGGGCCTAATTATTCTCCCCGCTTTTTCGCCGTTAGATCGCACCAATTCGCGTTTACGAGAGCGGCTGACGATCGAGCGACGCGCCGATTCTTTCCGTTCCCCGCCAGCACGAGGCAGCCTACAATACAATTAACCTATTCTAAACAAGGTAGCGCGTTTCTCAGAGATCGCGATATTCGATCGGCAAATTCCCAGCCGTCTCCCAACAAGGCAAAAAAAGAAGATGCACGGAAGAAAGAAAGGAAGAATCGGCGAGCCTTGCCGATGACCCGCCTTGTTAGGGAATTCGGGGTCGCCTCGTCGTGTGTGACCTTTCGAGACGTATTCGCCGGGAATAGCGTTGCACTACTCGCTCGAGCGTGCGAGAGGGACAAACGCAGTGGAGGGACGGAACGCCCGAATCCCATCACTTTAGCGGGATATTGCTGCCTCGTCCCCGAAACAACCTGCTCGAGAATCGATTGGTCTCTCTCTCTCTCTCTCTCTCTCTCTTTCTCGCCGGGCAAGACAGGCTTCCTACATTGATATTCAGTAGCAAGCGCCGTCTCGCCGAACCGTCAAGAAATTTTACCCGGGGCATCGCAACACGCCTTCCCCGTGGAATCGCTAAGTTCCGCGTCGACAACGGCGGGATATCGAATAATTATACGAGTCGACGTAAGTAACCCGACGACGAGCAGAATTCGTTATCCCGCGCGCAGCCGGGCTGACGCCGGGACGGAATCCTCGGACGGTTTCTGTTCCGCGTACGGACGGGAATCGATTAATCCGCCGCGTCGCTAATTACGCGAGCCCGCGGAGCGGCGAAACGATCCGACAAAACGCCATTGTGTAGACCTGGATTTTCCCCTATTGATTTTCGCAT